CGTAAGAGCGCTGCTAGCAAAAAATGAAATCGGTTAACTCGTTTTTTCTTCATCATTTTACCTCGCCAGAACTGTTATTGACTCACTTCACCGGTCTAAAGAAATAGAAGGTTTTTCGTGCACTCTATAGTATAGCACATTAGGGTATCGGTGTGAGTGTAGCTGTGTAGCTGTGAGCCGGTGTGATGGTAGGATTTGCTAAAGACCCATGCTCGAATCAAAACCCACACCCACACTCACATCCGTATAATACCACGAGTTGAAAATATTGATATAACGATGAATGAAAAATGTTCGCAACTGAGAAGACTCCATAGAGAAGCAAAATTTGAAAGAGATTTACTTAAAAACCCATATTCTAATGTAAAATTTCGATTTAAATTCGCTATTCAAAAGTCAAACAAACTACATTCGAAACTGATAAAGATCCCTAAAATTTAACTAACGCAAACGATATAAACTATGAGAATGACATTTTTCAACAAGAATTATTATAATAGTTTATACAACGAAACACGTAACGTTAATGTTTCATGATTTTTTTTCTTAGTTGTTCGATTCATTACAATAAAAATAAATAAACAAAAAAAAATTATTTTGAACTTTTTAGATAAGATTTTTTCCTTTGTTTTCACTAGAAATGGGTTGAACTTTTTTATTGAAATATATGTAATTACCTTTCAAATTAAATTTTACTTCCAACCGATCGATTTCATGTCAGCAGTGAAAAATTCATCAAAACTTTCAATATAAGCTCTCGTTTAGCTAACAGGTATGAGATGAGCTAATATTATTTCCTGTCCACTATAACAGAAGGCTCCAATGATGAGATAATAACAATGAACTCGTTTATATAATGACGGGATTTTAAACGAAACTTCAAATGTTTTTTAAGAATGGTCAATAGATTATTATTCATAAATGTTTTGAGATTTATAGAAAATAAAAAAAGAAAAGTATGAAATGCTAGTATTTTGAGAGAAAAGCGATCATATCTATTGTCGAAATCAACCATTTAAATGACAGTTATGACCACTAAACCACTATGCTTTAGTATGCTTGAAACTATGAATAATTATTTCCACCTCTTTACGATTAATGGGTGATTTGCCTTGAAAGAGCCATAGGTTCATATGTAGAGGAGCACCAGTATAAGGTATTGATGTTGCAAATCCTCTTGGTGTTTGATATGAATAGAAAATGTTTTTATTTGGTGAAGTCATAAAACCATGTTGTCCTAGGAAAGAAACCTTATGAGAAGTCCAAGTAAACCGATGAGTCGTGTACGTTCCTTGCAGAGATATATGTGTACCAGATGATACTGGTTGAGCAATGCCGAATGTATGTGGATAGACTGTATAAAAAATATTCGATGCTGCTCGTTCAGTTCGACCCCATTCAGCTACTTCAATATCAATTTCATTTGTACCATCAACACCTCCATAAGTAAACAGACCTAATACTACATTAGGATCAAATTGATCAATTGCTCCTTCTACAAACCATCGAAAAGTGCCGAAACTAAATTTTACATCGCTGTATAATTCAGCACAAGTCCATCCACCTCTTTTAGGTGAATAACGAAGTTTCATATGAAGTTTATTACTTTTATCCACCCATACGTTATTTGAGTTCCAATTGTTTGGACCTTTAATACAAAATAAAAACAGAAAATATTGTTTTTTTTTTTCTTAAATTGATGTAGTCTTCAGTTACCAGGTCCACTATTTTGATCATCACGCAAAAACCATTTATATCCTGCCCAATGAATTGATTTTTGAGCATTGATAACCCAAACTATAATATAAGAGAAAATTGTTTGATTTTATGTGAGAAACTATTACGTCATAAACAAGAAACACGTACCTAGAGCTAATAAAAATACTGCCGTGATTGCTGATATTGTCCACATTGTGATGAGACTATGTTATCTTTTAATGATGCCTTAACAAAATATATTTTATTACCTTGGACAAAAGTTGAAAGCATTTCTATAGAATATACACTATCCTCAACAACGCAGTGATTTTGGTATGCGATACAAAATGTATGTGAATAAGGACTTCGGATATCGTATAGATATACTAAGTTGTAGAAGAGTATATGATTAATAAGTGATAAAAAATAAATCTAGACTATTATATACTAGTATTGAATATTGTTTAACGAGAAAAACAAACTTAACAATCATACAACAAAAAAAAGTAGCTGCACTCCTGTAGCGCTTCGAAAACAAAAGACACGTGATTTTTATCGAACACGAACGATTGAAGGCTAACTACCTATGCATTTTCTTTAGTATATTACTTTTTTACTTATTAAGAATTGTATCCACATAATGCCCATTATATGATATTTTCGACAAATCAAATGCAAAGTAAATTTTTTGTCGATGAGTCAAATGATAGCTGCACAAAATATTCAAAATAACATTTTTCACTTCGGCAAGCGAAGAAAAATATAAATTCATTATGGAAAGATTGAAATAAATACTTCGCTTTGGTGAGTTCTTTTGCCTGACCTCTGTTGAAAATGTGTTTTAAGGTTTAATAAGTCGTGATCTATTTAAAATTATGTAGTACATCGAAATATTCTGAGTCTGAATAATTTATTATTCTTATTATTATTGCATCTTCATTCTACAAAAATATTTACAATGACTAAAAAGTGATGTAAATGATTTAGCCGTTTATAAACATGTTGAAATGTATTTTTCGTTTTTCTCCTCTGCTCTTATCAATTTTATTTTTTTATCCTTATTATTTCAGTGCTTTATAGGAATGGTTCTTCAGTAGTAAAACGCCTTTCAGGAGAAGGTCAAAAGCATTTTAATAACACCTTATTAAAGGAACGTGTTTTTATTTTGAGGAAAACAAGTTGATCAGCCAGTCTATCATGTCTCTGAACTTGTTCCATCTCTGATTCATCACCAATCTCAAATACCTCGTATCTCTACCAGTACAGTTTCGTTCTTGCTCAACACGTTCTTGTTTCAAAAGGTCGTAGTCTACGGTCCTAGGAACACGTTCGCGACAGTTCTTTTTGTTGCTTTAAGAGATATATATTTTCTGCTTATATTAAACAAAATTTATCTGCATGTTTAACTTCTACAGTTCTTTGTACTATTAGTAAAACTAAATTCTAAATTTGAAGTAAAAAAAAAAGTGCAATTTATTAATTTGCAACTGGCATTTTCTATAAAATTTTACAAAATTTCTGTAGTTGTGATTGACCTAAATTAAGTTTTCGAATTACTATTTTACAAAAAAGATTAAAAAAAACTGCAAATTAGAGCATGCATATAAAAAGAAGGGTGGGCTGTGGACTTTAATTTGAGCCAAGAAAAAAAGCATCCACATCCACATCCTCAAAAGTACAAGGCTAAAAATCAAATTAAAATAGTACCCTTTTAATCAATTTTTTTGATCTGATTTTTTTGTCATTTTTCTTGCATCGTAAGGAAATTTTACATGTTTCTAAATTTTAATTAGCTGTGCAACATATCTATTCTATCTACATGAACTGATCTTAATGCACTATTATGTATCTTGATCAACTTTTAAACTCTAACAATAATTATTTTTCAAAGTTATAACTTGATCCAGTCACGCTTTTCATGTTGATCAAATGGCAACTGTGGCATATCGATGCATCACTGCTAATCATCGTTGAAATCTTAAATACAATTTTTTATCTATATACAAAAATAAAAAACTACATTATTTAGAGCTTTTGCAAACATATTCTAGTTAGAGGTACTGGCTTAGCAGTAGTACCAGAAAAATGCTTATATTTTTGCAGTACAATGAAGAAAATACTTTGATACATTTATATTAGTGTTAAAAAAATAATTTAATAATTTTGTATTAGCATTGAAATAAAAATTAGCATTCATCTAGCATTATTTGATACATTTTTCGTGAGTTCAACATTAACATGCTCTTCATGATAAAAAAAGACCCGTTTCAACGCTTGAATTTTTTAAAAGAATGCGTTATTAATTGTTCTTTTTTCTGGTTATTTTTTCATGCTAATATAAATAACAAGTGTATAAATAATTTAGCAATTTTACAGATCTTCTTTTTTTCTCTCTGAATAGAAACATGTTAACATAAATTTGAACGTTGTATTAATTATAACTGATGACTAGTTGACTTTCATGATGTAACTTACTTATAACTGTTTACAAGTGTATCTAATATGGGTATCAATCAAAACATGTGTACTATCTCTATCATTACTAATTTACTTTGCTATGCAAACTTTTAGAAAAAAATTACTATTATAAGTTATAAGTGCTTACACTGAAATAAGAATAGATGTTTACAGGTTTTATAACGAAATCTTTGATTAATGTATCGATTTTGATATCACTCCTGTTAATCTTATCATTTTCTCTTTTTTTCATTATTCTCTTTCGATTGTCTTTCTCATATTCTATGGTGTTTTGTGTGAGTTAAACACGATTACAGATGTGAAGTCACTAAATACCTATTATTATGGAGTATGATGATAGCTCTAACTCTCACAGTTCACACTAGTTTATACAAGTTACACTGGAATAATAACAAGATGGCGAAATAATAAAGTAACGAGATGCGAGCATCAAAGAATTATGAATGATCGTTTTGGTATTTTTGTGTATTGATGTGAGGTAGTTCTGTTGTGATTTGTGACAAGTGTTAGAAAAATAAGAAAGTGAAGAATAGTTTTAAAAATTTATCAAGTCTTCTTTGAATACGATCTTATTTATTACAACAATGATTTGCTTTTTTTTATGTAGCAACCAATAAAGGTAACAGACTCGGATAAATTGCTGAGGGTTATTCAGGGTGATCTGTTAAGAGAAGAAGTAAGTTTAATTCTTTTGATAAACGGATACTCTTTGAATATTGTTTAGAGTGATAGTACTGTAATATGTCGTTCATCAATATATTTATTGAAAAGCGTTCTTAAAGCAATAGGAAAATCTCTAGCTGAGTGTTTTCCTATTCAAATTCATGAAAATGCAACAATCTCTATTATTAGTATCACCACAAATGGTAAACTTGTATCGAAAGTAGTTTATTTAGTTTCATGGAGTGCTAATGCTGATATGAATATACTTTGTCAATCAATTGAAAAATTAGTTTTAAATGCAATGGGAAAAGCAGAAAATGCAAATTATAAAAGCATCGCATTTCCAGCAATTGGTTGTGGTCAATATGGATGTTCAATTGATATTGTAGCTTAAACGTTTGTTAAACAAGTTCAGCAACAATTAACTAAATATCCAATAAAAATTTCATTTGTTATTCATCCAGATAGAACGGATACGTATGATGCATTTCAACTGCAAATCTATTCACTTGGACAACAAGAAGGAATTGCTACGAAAAAATCAGTATCAACAACAGTTGAACCAGCGAAAATAGAAGTGGAAAAAGGAGATATTACAAAACAACCAGTAATAGTCTTTATGAAATTCAAAATTTTACTATTTTTTCTTTTTCTTCCACAATGATAGGTTGATGTTATTATTGGAAGTTCATCATCAGAAAATCTAAAACAAATTTTACTAGAAGCTGAAGGAAAAGAAGTTGAAAATGCTTATGACGAAGAAGCTAAAAATAATCCACCCTCATCAATTATTTCAACTCTATCAGGTCAATTACCTGGCAAACGAATATTTTTCCTTAAATGGGAACCTAATACAAATCCTGAAACTCTTAAACAATCAATAATTGATCTCATATGGAATGTTATTCAAAATACTACTTCATATAAATTTACTTCAATTGCATTTCTAGCTATTGGATGTGGAGAACATGCCTGTCCTGTTCATATTGTTGTTAAAACAATGGTTAAAGAAATGAAACAACAAATTCAAAATAGAAATTTATCATGGTCTATTAAATTTATCATTGAGCCTAATCAAGACAACGTTTATGATGAATTTTGTACACAACTTTTGTTATCAAATCAAGAGCCCATCGATTATCAGTTACCTTCAACATGGCAAACATCAAAAGAAGATACGATGAGGTTTACTGTACCGAAAAATACAGATGAATATAAATCCATTTTTATCAGTTTTGATGAGACAATGAAAAAAATATATCAAGAAATCATTAAAATTGAACGAATTCAAAATGAACGATGGTATGTGCAATATTTAGTACATTTGAGAGATTTTCAGAAACGATTAAATATAGATACTAAAAGACATTTGTATCATGGCTGTCCTGAAGATGCAGCCAGTTCAATTATCAAAGATTGTTTTAATAGAAGTTTTACTGGTGTCAATAGTATTACTTTTTTTCTGTGTTTTCCTCTCCAATATATATTCATTGTAGGACAGCATATGGTGTTGGCGTTTATTTTTCATCCAGTGTAGTTTATAGTCATGCTTTTACAAGATCAAATGCTAATAGAGAGCGATGTATGTTTGTCTCTCGTGTTCTTATTGGGAAAATAACCCTAGAAAATCGTTCAATGAAAAGTCGACCTCTTGGATTCGATTCAACAACAGATGGATATCATATTTTTGTTACTTATCATGATGCGCAAACATATGCAGAATATTTAATTACATATAGATAGCAACAAGATTTCGACTTTTGTATTAATCTAGATTTTGACATAGTACATTCTCATTGACTACTAATAAGTTTTATCTTTTTCTAAAAGGAAGAAATTATTTTTTCACGTGATTTATTAATTTTGAATAAAATAGCTTTATTGCTTAGGAGATATTTTACGTAAGTCGTGACCATCGTTGCTCAATCTATGTCACTGTTTGGCTGATATTTTTATAGTAGGTGGTTGTAGGATGTCGTTGTGACTGTGTTGATGAATGTCCTTCAAGAAGATTTATACCTACACTAACAGTCGTTCAAGAGAAAATTTAGTTGTGCAAGCATAGTGTAGAGCGACATTATTTGAAGCATTCACACAACAAGACCAATTGATAAATGAGAATAGCATAGAGAAATCGGCTCCGATACACACAGAAGTGTTCAGAAAATATTATTTTCACACAGAATCGTCATCAGCGGGTGTGAGGTTGTGGATGCGAGTCTTAATGTAGCGAAATAAGACACCCACACCCATATCCTAATATAAGATTCTCTGACTATCATAGACCGTTATACAAATGCTGAAGAGACCTCTTGCAAAAATTTGGCCACCGTGAATCATCTGACTAGATCATTTGTTGTGTACTTATGCAACAACTCCATGATCATTCATATTTTGATGATTGCAACTTTCATACTCAAGAAATATTTGATTATTTTTTTTAAAGAATAAGCGTAGTTTATATGATACAATGAATCAAAGAAATAATACAAAGGATTATATACGAGCTGCCATCTTAGCAAGTCTGTAAGAAAATATTTAGATTGTCAGTTTCATCATTGGCCACAGCATAATCCAACTTTGTATCATTGTTGAAATCACCAACAACAATGGCGAATGGTCGAGATCCATAACTCATCGAAAATTGAATCAAATTTGCGAATGTACCATCCCCATATCCAAGAAATAGACCTACAGTATTAGTACCTTGATTAACAACGACAATGTCTATTATATTGTCGTTGTTAAAATCCCCTACAGCAACAGAAAATGGATACGAACCAGAGCCCGTTGAATATACCGTTTGATTTGTAAAAGAACCATTGCCATATCCGAGAAAAATACCCACGTTTTCAGAACCATAATTAGCGACGATCATATCTAGTCGAGCATCGTTATTGAAATCACCAACAGCCATAGAGTGTGGCGACGAATTGGAGCCAGTTGAATATGTTACTTGATTTGCAAAAGAGATATTGCCGTATCCAAGAAAAACTCCGATATTGTGAGAACCTGCATTGGCAACACCAATATCGATATGATCATCATTATTAAAATCACCAATGACAAGCGATCGCGGTCGGGAACCATCTCCAGTTATGAGTGTGGTTTGGTTTACAAAGCCTATACTAATGTATCCAAGAAGGACACTGACACGTTGGGTATTCTCATGATTGACAACGATATCCAGTCGGGTGTCGTTGTTAAAATCGCCAATAGCTGCGGACCCTGGATAAGTGTCAGTTGAATACGTGATTTGATTCGTAAAAGAACCATTACCATATCCAAGAAACAGACCTACAGTTGCAGTGTCTTGATTAGTGACGACAATGTCTAATATGGTGTCTTTGTTGAAATCACCAACGGCTATAGAATATAGATAAGAACCAGTAGAATACTTGATCTGATTTGTAAAAGAGCCATTACCATATCCAAGAAACACACTCACATCATGACTAATAGTATTGGCGACAACGAGATCTAGTCTAGTGTCGTTGTTGAAATCACCAACAGCTACGGATCGTGGAAAAGAGCCAGTTGCATACTCGATCTGATTTGAAAACGAGCCATTACCATCTCCAAGAAGGATCTTCAGATTATCGGTATTACCATAGGCGACTACGATATCAAGTCGATTGTCATTGTTAAAATCACCAACAGTTATATATCCTAAACTGGAGCCAGTTGAATATCTAATTTGATTTGCAAAAGAACCGTTACCATATCCAAGAAGGACACTCACATCATTTATATCACCACTGGCGACAACGATATCTAGTAGGTTGTCGTTGTTAAAATCACCAACAGCTACAGAGAATGGATGAAAGCCAATGGGATAGGTTATGGTATTTGAAAAAGAGCCATTACCATATCCACGTAGGACACTTACATCATTCGTATAAAAATGGGCAACAACGATATCTGATCGATTGTCGTTGTTGAAATCACCAACAGCTACAAACTGTGGATAAGAAGGAATTGAATATCTAATCGCATTTGAGAAAGAGCCATTACCATATCCTAAAAGTGTACTCATATTATAGCTATACTGGTAAGCAACAATGATATCCAGTTGGTTGTCGTTGTCGAAATCACCAACAGTTATAGACAGTGACTGAGAGCCAGATATATACGTGGTTATCGTTTCAAAAGAGACATTGTTGTATGCAACAAGAATATCCACATTATCAGTATCGTCGTAAGCGACAATAGTTTCCGATCGTCTATCATTATTGAAATCAGCAGAAGTAATGGTAAACGGAGGTGAGACAAAATCAATTTCATAACTTGTTTGACTTGTAAAGGATCCTTTACCATTTCCAAGCAAAATATTTGCACTCTTGGTACCGTAATTGGTCACAGCAATATCTAGTTCAGTATCACCATCAAAATCGCCAATGGCAATAGAGGACGGATGAGAATTCGAGCCAGTACTAAGCATCATTTGATCTAGAAAAGTGCCATTCCTATATCCAAAAAGAACGCCTACATTATTAGTACCATAATTAGCAACGATAATATCTAATTGAGCGTCGTTGTTCATATCACCAACAATAACATATCGTAGTTTAGAACCACCACCAGATGCGTAAGTCATTTCGTTTTTAAGAATTCCTCTGTTATATTGGAGTAGTATATCGACATAGTCACGATCCACATTGATGACAACGATATCGAGTCGGGCGTCGTTGTTGAAGTCACCAACGGCTACAGAGTATGAATAAGAACTAGTTGAATACGTGAGTTGATTTGCAAAAGAGCCATTACCATATCCAAGAAACACACTTACATCTTGACTGTTACTATTGGCGACAACGATATCCATTCGGGTGTCGTTGTTGAAATCACCAGTAGACAGAAACCAAGGCTCAGAGCTACTTGAAAACCTGATTTCATTTGCAAAAGAACTATCACCATATCCGAGAAGAACACTAATATCATTAGTATCACGATTGACGACAACAATATCCAGTTGGTTGTCGTTGTTGAAATCAGCAAGAGCTACAGATCGTGGACCAGAGCCAGTTAAATAAGTGATTTGATCTGCAAAAGAACCATTACCATATCCAAGAAGCACACTCACATTATTGCTAAAATAATTAGTGACAACGATATCCAGTCGGTTGTCGTTGTTGAAATCACCGACACCTACAGACAGTGGACCACGCCCAGTTGAATACGTAGTTTGATTTGCAAAAAAGCCATTACCATATCCAAGAAGCACACTCACATTATTGCTAAAATAATTGGCGACAACGATATCTAGTTGATTGTCGTTGTTGAAGTCACCAACAGCTACAGATCGTGGAATAGAACCAGTTGAATATTTGATTTGATTTGCAAACGAACCATTACCATATCCAAGAAGAACAGTAACTTCATTGGCAGCACCATTGGCGAGAACGATGTCTAGTCGATTGTCGTTATTAAAATCACCAATAGCTACAGAGTATGGAGCATTGTCAATTGCATACCTGCTTTGATTTATAAAGGAACCATTACCATATCCCAGAAGGATGCTGAAATCATTGCTACCCCAATTGGCCACGACGATGTCTAGTCGATCGTCGTTGTTGAAATCACCAACAGCTACGGATCGTGGAAGAGAACCGGTTGAATACGCCGTTCGATATGAAAAGCCCTCGTAAGAACCAAGTAGGATATCGATGGCACCAGTGTCATTACTGACGACTATAATATCTAAACGATTGTCTTTGTTGAAATCTTCTATGACAAATGATATTGAAGAAGAAGCTCCAGTTGAGTATACCATTGGATTGGTAAAAATACCGTTTCCTAAACCAAGAAGCACAGCTATATTATTAGTACCGTGATTAGTGACGACTATGTCTAGTCGATTATCCTGGTTTAAGTCACCAACGTCAATGAAATATGGAGAAGAAGAACCTGTAGAATAAGTGACTTGGTTTGCAAAACTTCCATTATCATAGCTCAGAAGCACGCCAATTTCATTCATTCCATAATTAGCAACAGCGATATCAAGGAAGACATCGTCATTGAAATAGCCAGCAGCGATTGAGTACGGATGAGAACCAAAGCCAGTTGAAAAAGCTATTTGATTTGCAAAAGTGCCGTTGGCATTACCAAAAAGTATACTAACATCGTTTGTACCATAGTTGGCAACAGCAATATCTAAATATTTGTCATTGTTAAAATCTCTAATGACTAATGAAGATGGAAAAGAATCATAACCCATGAAATATGTAGTCGGACCCGAAAAATTTCCATTTTCATATCCATAAAGTATACTTATACTATGGGTTCCATAATTGACTGTGACAATATCAAGTCGCATGTCGTTGTTTAAATCAGCTAGGCTAATCGAAATTGGCCTAGATGAGCTAGTCGAAAACATCTTTTGATTCGCGAATGACCCATCTCCCAATCCAAGAAATATACCGACATTATTAGTACCAAAATTTGCAACTGCGATATCCAATCGATGATCATTGTTGAAATCACCAATGGCAACCTTGTACGGAGCAGATCCAGTGCCTGTTGAATGTTCGATTGGTCTTGAAAAAGTGCCATTGTTAGATCCAAGATATACAGCAATATTGTTAGCAATATGATTGGAAACAACCATATCTAGCCAAGTGTCATTATCGAAATCACCAACGGCGACAGATCGAGGACCATAATTGTATTCAATTGGATTTTTGGCCGTTAATATGAACCTTAGCTCACACTTTGGAACTAAACGACACATGAAAAGCAATATGATGAATGATTGTTTGCTCGAATAGAACTATTCCTGTTAGATCATTTCAGATTCTCAAAAGTCATATAATATATTGTCAGAAGTTGTCGTACGGCTCTATATAGACAAAACTCAAAACGATCATGTTTCAATAGAAATCCCTTTAGTTTCTTAGAATTTAGATTGACTTAGATATACGAATTTATCAGCCCACCCTAGAGAATATACTGAGTTAAGGGTACCCAAAAAAGTACCCTGATACCAGTATGTCACAGGAACTTTTGGGTACCAAAGTACTTGCAGGTACCTACGGGTACCTAACTGGTACTATGGCAAGTACCCTGCTGGAAAATCCTCAGTAATTGGGTACCTAAAGGTACTGATCAAGTACTGAATTGGGTACCATTGTATAGTATTTCTAAGTACCCTGTTACCAAATTTTCAGTATGTTCAGGATCGAACCTGATCTTTGACTTTTTAAAATTTTTTCTTTTTCTTGAGATAATTTACTAGATTTTTTTTACTTTATTGAATTTAATTTTTTCAATTCCAAAAACTTAGCAGGAACAATGTCGAGATCCGACTCAACTTGAGTTGGCCGTAGACCACTTCAGGGTAGTCCGATCTTAATTTACGACCAAGCTCGGCATTTCCTCGACTAAGAAATAGTCAAGAAATAATTTAGAAAAAACTAGTATGAAAATTGATTATTTTCTTATGATTTATCGAGTTATTTATATAGAGCCGTAAGTAAAAAAGAAAACGGTGAATGAATAGTCGCCACACAGAACGCGAGAAATTTAGGATACCCTGTCGAGATTTCCTCAGTAAAGTTACAGACTTGTGTATCCATGCAGGTACTTATTCAGTGAATGTACTTTTACGGGTACCCCAAACAGTACATACATCAGTAAAATTACTGAGAATTTTCAAAGTACCCATATTGGGTACCCTGCTAGAGCTTTCTCAGTACATGGGTACCCTGAGCTCAGTACTTTCTCTAGGGCAGTCGCTTGTTTGTTCTCTCTTTCTCATTTACTGTAAAATTCGTTCGAAAAATATGTTGTCTTTGAAAACGAAGAAGAAAGTCCATGAATATGCTATGAGCATGAAATGTAATTACGAACTTCACAGCAGGGATGACGGAACGTTTCAAAATCAGGTAAGGCTCAATGAAAGTTTGTTTGTTATCCTGAGCAAACCTGTTACATATTATTTTGACAATAACTGAGCGAAGTTCAGGTGTTAAATCATTTCAGACTATTTAGTTTTGTTGTCGTCATACAAGATATTGAGCTAGGTAAATTTGTTGGTTGCAAATGCAAGATTCAAATATTCGTATCTGATAATTCATCAGAACAATCAAAAGATCTTAGCTGACTTTTGGGTTTACAAAATTTTTTCGAAAAAATATTAAGATCGGATAAACTTGATGTATCGGCACAAAGAGAAGCTTGAGTTGAAGTAGACTTTCCTGTGTTTTCATGTTGAGAATTCGTTGAAAGATTATTTAAATCTACTAAACCAATTTCTCCCTTTGAAAGAGATAGTGTTTGACCTTATACTGTTTTTGGAAAATATTGAAAAAGTGATCCATCAGATCGTTTTGACTAAATTTACTGCTTATACTCTACAATATTGACATCAATAATACTATGCTTGCAACAAAACACTTTCTGTGTATGATCAGCATTCATATAAACATAAAATGATATATTGATCAGGAATAGTGGTATCATAATCTTGCATCATCGCAGCAGATTCATGATGTCGAATAAAATTAGTAAACACAATAGTCAAGAATTCAGATAAATGTGGTAATCGAATTTTTTAGATTATATTTACTTAATATTGTTGCCACAGTGTGAATTATGGGAGCTGTATTTGCACTTAATCAAATGGAGTGAATGATATAATAGTATGAAAGAGAAGACAAATGTTTCCCAGGCAGACAAACAACTCCAAAAATTCAGATAAACACCCAAAAAAATTGGATGTTTCCAGATGTCAATCCTGGTTTTCAATGATCAGCAAAAAGTAGCCAAAAAAAAAGTCGTAACAACGATCGATTCTTCCACAAATAACTTCTTTTTTCATCGCATTTTCTCTGATCCCAAAGTAAAAAATCCGGAATATGGATGTAAACGCTTAAAAAGTCGACTTTTAGGGCATCTCTTCAAGTGCACAGAGAAGTGGTTGTGAAAAATTTCTTATGATTACACTTAAAATTTATCCTTTCTATAAATTTTCACTACTACTTTCCTCAACATGCGTTTAAACGCCAAAAATACGAACTTTTTGGACATTAAGACGCATTTTCTGAAACTTTTGTCTGTCTGGATTGAATGCAAATATTTTATCATTTGAGTAAACGATTTTCACGGTTGATCTATTTTACAGACCACTCTGTGTGAATAAATAAACGATGCCACTAAGAACCATGGCGACAAAGATAGCAAATTTTATTGCTACCTTAATTTTTCAGTTTTTCTTGTCGCAATTCATACATAAGCATGTAAAAAGTTTCAATTTCCGCGCTAAAATAAGTTTTACGTAGCGAAACTATGCTAGAGTCGAGTATGAACAAACTCTAGAGACGTAATTCCCATCAGGCTCAGCTTAATCTAGTGTCGAAGTCAGGTGAGACTCAAGCTTTTCAAGCCTACACGTTCCACCGCTCATGCATAATCTAATGTTTGCTCTAGCCCAAATATCACTTTATGTAAATAAGATAAAAGCTATTACTAAAAACCATAAGCACATAGTTAGTGAATTTACTATTCTCCGAATTTTTAGTTGTCTTTATCACAACAGATAAATACACATATTACAAGTTCGAATCTTCTCACTGATATAATATTCGTCTGATAGAATAAGTCTAAACCTTCATGCGAATAAATATCGAATTCATATTTGAGATGAGGCTCAAGCCTCACCTAGCCTATACGTTCCGCTGCCCATGCTTCACAGTGTCTTCTTATGACATTTGGTTTGCTAAAGCACCAATACAATGATGAAAGCTTTGCATTGTTATAGAATCAAATGAATATCAAAACTGTTGTTTTGAATAATGCTGTCAGTGATTCAATCAGTATTTTGGACTAGTGATTACAATAATGAAACATTATGTAACGCTATAATAGAGGAGAAGATGTGAGTCTACCAGGTCACTAACTGCGCATCAGCAAGGCAATATATACATGAAGAAGAAGTGAATAATGATGCAGGAAATAACGACCGGCAATAGTCAGTGTTTATGTCAGTGGTTCCATTGTAAGGATAAAGAATGTTCATCGATAGTTTTCGAATGACAAGTACGCAATTATTTCTGCTCTTTTTCTTACAGTGAGCGATCTGTGACCTTTATCGATCTATTCAGCCGGAAATGGTCATAAATATTCTTTTGAGTTTTTAATGACAGATCTTCGATGTGACCTTATTTTACTCATAAAAAAATGGCATATATATTATAAATAAAAAAGAACTTACCAATAACTTTTGGCGAAGTGAAACAAACTATCAGTACACTAATAACCATTGTTATAATTGTGAACATAGCAAATGCACCTGCAACAGTTAAAAATGGATGTAGTGACCAAAACGAATATTCTCTAATAAAAACATTCTATACATTATGATGATTGAGCAAAAAAAGAAAATAATATACAAATAGGTTGGAGTCATTGGTGACTTCTTCATTCTGTCAGTACCATTGGCAAATTTTCTTGAATCAGTTTGATTTTGTGTTAAGTTTTCATGTTGCTCATTGCCGATATGAAAACGTTGTTCAACAAGCGAATTTTCAACTGAGATAGCAGGATTATCTATAAAATTTTCATTCATCTATAGTATAATAAATAGAATTCGACAAAAGATAGTTTTCAGGTAATATTCATGGGTTAATCATTAACGTGCTTTTTTTATAAGTTACCGTTTGAGTTATTGATTACGTCTTTTCTGTGTGAAAAACTTATAGATTTTTGACGATTCAGAAAATTTCTAAAAGAAGATTATCAATTAGCTTAGTAATTCATAATTAGAATTTCAAATCTAAAAGAATGAAATTCTTTGTTGTTTTGGAAACATTACTCGAGCATTTCGTACGAATAGCTTCTAAATGAACACCGAACAATTCAGACTGTATCGAAAGGAAGACATTGTTTCAAAAAGTTTGAATTTTATCACAACGAAAAACGTCGACGAGTATTGGAAATATGTGCCTAGAAAACAGTTCGAGTCGACATATAACGAGATATGCTTCTATAAAAGCTCTTTTGTGGTGTCAAATTCAATCGATTGACTAAAAAGTCTTTCTAACAACATGTTTTGCTTTCAACTCATCAATTTCAACATTCGTAAATGCTCCATTGATAACGTTTTTCATATTGATTTGTCTATCGATTTGTCTATAGTTTTGTTTTCGAAATCTCGTTGATCATTAAAAATGTGTTTTATTAATTAAATGATGTATTCTATTGTCTATATAGTATGATTCAGACAGATTTACCAATGAGTTTTGATTTTTTTAAATGGTCATTGGAATATTTCTATAAAATATTTTTCAATTCGATCAATCGAAATAAGTTTTTTTCTATGATCCGTATCAGTCGAATAATCAGAAAGAACTTTCATTTCATTCAATTAAATATGAATGAATTCAGTGATTCGATTACGATAATCGTGATTATGATGGCATTCATGCTGCACATATGATGATCATCTTGGATCTTGTTTAGTTTAATTTTCAAGTCTAAAATTACCAGCTATTAGTTCACAACAAGAACACATACACATATCTGTAACTTCTAAACAGTATCCTGTTCAATGGAAAATGTTTTTATCTAGAATTTATCGTTAATATTAATGATAGAAGCCACATTTTAGATTGATAACATATCGAAAAAAGCAGCAGCACATCAAGTTTGAGATAATCTATATATTGACTACAGAATTTAACAAGCGAAAAAATCTTCTATAGGAAAAAGCCGTTGATATACCGGCGAATATTA